ATCGCGTGTTTTGTGAGCAAATGCTTTTGCATATTCGTAGTGTTTCCTCCCTTATATGAAATATCTACTTTGCAAGTATTGCAAGTTGCCCTGTTGTCTTCCGTTCTCGTAAAGTATAACCAAACTTTTGAGCGTTTGAGCCGCTTAGGCGCCGTGTTTCCTGCCAGGTAAATGACGCTCCGCAACGTGGTGACGTCATTCGGGGCGGCTGGAATCGATAAGGGAATCGTTTGCAAAATTGGCAAACAATTCCAAGGAATTGAAACAGTGGGAACCGGTTTTCGACAACAACCAGTTTTCGATACCCATCCCTAGTTATCCCATGTCAAGTCAAAGTCAAGTCCCTGTTGCTTATGCAACATTCTGAAAACAACACGAAAATACGTGAAGCATTTTCCAGACATGCACATTGGGCATAAAACACCTGCTTCCAAAAGTCACAAGGCCACACAACGTGACTGAGCAAAAATAAATCACACTGAAAAATACAATTATGATAAAGCCAAAAATGTTATAAACATAACGTTTAAGCTATAAACCATGACTGGATGATTCATTGTTACGTCAGTCTATGTATTCAAACTACATTATAACTACACAAATTGCCACACTGGAAATTCACAAGGCTGATGAGGACCACAGTTGATGTGACGGTAGAGGAAAGATAGCTTCAGACTTTTGGTGTAGGTGATGTGCCCCCTGCAACAGCCAATGGGCGTGAGGGGCGGACAGTACCAACTAGAGGAGGGCTCTGGGGGAGTTGTCCGCTTCTAAATAATCCGATTGGGCCGTCTTAAAAAGGGCAAACGCTTCTTTTCTACTTTGAAAACCCGCCTTCTGCCGCGGTACAGAAATAGAAAGGTTTGCCTGAAAGAGCACCTCTATAGAGGGAGAGGAAGGGACACCAGTGAGAAGAAAACTGCTTTATTCCAGTTTCGCGTCCGAGCGATTAGCCAGAGACGTTTATCTTCCGTTTGCTGAGCATCAGCAACGTAAAGGAGGCTATTACCTAGCTTACCAGCCTGGCTGAACACCAAGCCGGGGGGTCGTAAATAGCCAAGTTTACACAGATACCGAGAAAGCATTTCCCACTTACGCCTCTTTAATTACGTTTATCAGCCCTTAAGTTAGCCTGACACCTTCCAGTCGTTGCATTTTTTGAGGGAATGGCACTGGACTTCGCTGCTGGATGTGTAGGAGGTGAGTAGCAGCTAGCCACGTTAACAGGTTGACTCTAGCATTAGCATTAGCCACCTTTCTGTTTTTTTCCATCGTCAAAAGCTCAAGCTGTTGTTGCGGTGTAATTTGTGCCGTGCCGTGATTTCTCGATTTACACCCAGCTAGTTTATCTGATAACATTGTAAACCCACATGAATGACAGGTTGAATACTAAAACACTGGAGCTGGGTGCTTTTTAACCCCCCAGCTCAACGTTATGTTGCAGTGCTAACGTGAAGTTATTCCCAAATCTGCAGCACCCACGTAGAGATTGCTGTTTATAGTCGACATTCATCATATATCTACGTATCAATTAAACTTGCACACGTCCAGGAAACCCCAGAAATGTGAAATGATCGTGATCTCAGCTTTTCTTTAGTGATTATCGGGCAATTTCCCCCAAATATCTGCATCCCTTTCATCATTCCACTAACCCATTCCAAAGTAGGGAGTTACCATGAGGAGAGGCGGCGGTCCGCAGAAAGTTAAGCTCATGCATTCATCTTTGCCTCACACAAAAGCCCTGTGGGAATTTTGCAAGCTGTTTTGTCAGTGTTCAAGGACAGGACTTCCCAAAGTCTGTTGGATCCCAGGTAGAGTTACTGCACTGTAACTTAGTCTTAGATAACACCTTCATTGAGAGAGTCAGTAGTGCGGTGTAGAATGACTGTACTACAGTATTACTAGTACTACTATCTCCCTTGAACGGCTTAACATGTAGCTGATTACAAAATACAAAGGAATGGTACCAGATTTGGACTAACATTAAACTATTTATATAGAATAGTCTGAGAAATTATTTTTTTAAGGGAATAAAAAGTTCAGATATTGCTTTACCAGTGCATTTTAGTTATACATGCAGTATGTAAGTTACTGCAAGAGTAAAATAACGAAGTTGTTTTTTTAACTGATGTACTGATGTAAACCCCTAATGGCTTTACATCAGTTTCCCAACCTAGTTGACAACCTTGCATGAACACATGGCAGATTTAAATCACCCCAAGTGTTTTAAGCTGTATGATTTGTTTACAAAGATGCTTTTTATTTGCATAACATATTTATCTTTAGAAATTCAGTGGTGTTATTTCTGGTGCATTATCCTCATGTTGGTGTGCAGTCTTTGAAAACATCTGATATGAAGACAGTGTTGTATAATGGTTTTCTGGCATATTGACACAAGTCAAGGACAGGCCAGTGTTGAGCTTTCGTCAGTGTTAAGCTTTCGTCACTTCGTGCAGTGCAGTGACCAGCTGATGACGGCTCCATCTCATGATGGACAGGTGTCTGTTGCAACTACTGGACCAAAAGCCATCTTCTTTTTCCAAACTCAACCCATCAGTGCATTTGTACCTTTATAACTCTATTATTATATTGTGGTTCTTTTCTTAAGAGAAGAAGTCCATGGGATATATGATGACCTTGTGTGCACTGAGATTACTTCTGTATGACATGTTTTCCACCCACTGTCTCTGCTCTAACACAACAACTTTTTGCATGCTGTGGTCTGGTGATTATCTCTTGAGTTTTTAATGAGAATAGTTCAGTGAAATGGTAAGTTGTTCATTCCTGTCTTTTTTGTTTTTGTTTTTTAGGTGCTGCTGGTGTTTTGGTTGGGCATCCGTTTGATACTGTAAAGGTGGGTGTCTGCTGCATCCTCTTTGATGTTTGCTCATTAGTCACAAAAAATAAAAAAGAAATGCAGTACTTTGCTGACAGCCTTCATTTAAATCCAGATAAGCTGAGAGTACACAATGAGCCCAAGAGAGGAATGGGATGACTGAGCAAGAGGAATAAATCTTCTGATTAGTTAGAGTTCAGAACGGGACAGTACGTTCACTTCTTTACAGATTTCAATGAAACCGTCATTTATCAAAGGATTTGTAGGGATGGTTAATTAGCTGAATAACTTGTAGTCACATAGCCTATATAATCATCACTATGTACCTGCAGAGTCCCACACGATTTTATATGCATTAAAGTTAGTTGTAATGTTAAGGTTGAAATCCAATTAATTTTTATCACAACTTTTACATGATTTGTGGTTGAGGCATAGGATTTATGTGAAAGAACCTAAAAACAGTTTTTCTTTACTTGATGCCATTCGCATATTAATGTTGCATAGACTGGATTAATCAGTGGTAAAGTGAGGACGTTTTGACGTGAGAGACTTGTGTGAATGTGGAGCATCCGCTTTAGAGGCAAGCAGTGAGAGAATGGTTTGGTTATAGTTCTTTTACACCCTTGCTTTCAATGTCATTTCTCCCTGAGCCGGTGTCTGCTTGGGGCTCGGAGGCTGTCTTTAACAGCAACAGTGTCACTGTGTTGTAGATGAGAGAGAGAAATAAACAACCTCTCCACGGAAATGTGACTTAGTAAGTATGGTCCAGGTCTTTCTTTCTCTCACCCACTGTTATGTCTTTGAGATATTAAAATAAAAAGCACCGAAGACATTTTGTTCTTTTTACAGCTTCATACTCGGTTAATGTTTTTCTTATTCTCCCACATGTTGCACCCCCCCCCTTTATCATCCTTTGTTTTTCTTCCTGTTGACTGCTTGTTTCCCTGAAAACCTGTATTACACAGATCTTGGTTTGTAGTTACTGTGGTCCTCTTTGGCCTTTTTCCAGTTTTTACTCCAATGAGTTCTGTCACCCACAGGTGCGGCTTCAGGTTCAAAATGTGAATAAACCTATGTACCGTGGGACGTTCCACTGCTTCCAATCAATCATACGCCAGGAGTCGGTGAGTTTAAATTTGTTAGCACAGTGCTTGCTTTAAATTAAATAGGTTACATTTAAATATGTCCTTGGTGTTAAGCTGGAGTTGTTTATTATCTGGAGAATGTCCTGTGCACTGATTAAAGTGTTTAGTTGCTGTCCCGTCTCTCAGTAAAGGCATTAGGCAACGTGGGCGAGGTGGGGGGTCTCTGTTAGCTGGGGTCAATGAGGAGCTTATTCCTGGAGGAGCTAAATAAAGCTTTGGACATCATGCTATTTTTGCTAAGAGGGGGCACGGCATGACCTCATGGCTGTTTCACATGGATGTCCTTTATTCCGCCCACAGTAATATTCAAATGTAAGGTGGTTTCTCAGCTGTTTATGTACTTGTAAAATAAATGATGAGGATGTATTTGAGAAGTAGCTTTATGGGCAAAAGGAGATTATTAGACGATACGCAACCCATAATTATTTGCTTTAGCCATATTAGTAATCCATTGCTGATAACATCTGGAAAAAAGTGCACTGCTTCCTATAGCCTCCTTACTTTCTTGTTTTTATAGTGTTGATCTGACTCAGTAACATCTGTGTTTGCAGATGCTGGGTCTGTACAAAGGTATTGGCTCTCCAATGATGGGTTTGACCTTCATCAATGCTATAGTTTTTGGTGTCCAGGGAAACACAATGCGCATGCTTGGCCGTGATACACCTCTCAACCAGTTCTTGGCTGGAGCCTCTGCTGGAGCTATCCAGTGTGTCATTTGCTGTCCAATGGAGCTGGCCAAGACACGTATGCAAATGCAAGGAACTGGAGAGAAGAAGTCTAAGAGGAAAATGTACAAGAACTCCCTGGACTGTCTGGTGAGAATCTACAATAAGGAGGGGATCAGAGGGATCAATCGGGGTATGGTTACCACCCTGGTGCGTGAGACACCGGGTTTTGGCGTGTACTTCCTTGCGTATGATGTGCTGACACGCTCACTGGGTTGTGAGCCAGAAGACCCCTACATGATCCCCAAGCTGCTGTTTGCTGGTGGCATGTCAGGCATAGCTTCCTGGCTGTCCACCTATCCCGTGGATGTGATCAAGTCACGCCTGCAAGCGGACGGGGTCGGCGGCGTTTACCAGTATAATGGTATCATGGACTGTGTCAGGCAGAGCATACAAAAGGAGGGGTGGAGAGTGTTCACTCGTGGACTAACATCCACTTTGCTCCGTGCATTCCCAGTGAATGCAACCACATTTGCCACTGTGACTTTGTTCTTAATGTACATGCGCGAGGGTGGAGAGTGTAGCATTCCAGACTCTGAGCCGCCGTCTGTCCAGCTGCAGCCTCTGCAAACGCAGACACAGCCGACCAGCATGTAAGCTGGCGTGCAACAGTGAGTGTTGTTAATTTTTAAGCAAACCTATCTGTAGACAGTTTGTACACAGGTCAAGGATCTGTTCATTAGTGTCCACAATCACAGAGGAGAGCTATGTTTTGGGTAAGCATCTGTCCATAAAGCTTAAACCAAGTGGTCTCACATAGTATTTAAATAATATATATTTTAAGAGAAAAGCTGCACTTGTAAATATGTTCTCTTTGCTTTTGTACATATTTAGCTTTTTTAAGCAAATTGAAATAAACTTGACAGTTACAAGAGTTACTGTAACATACAGTGACTGTTACAGATGTCCCAAAAATGTTGAACACTTTGATCCTAATGATGCCGTTTTCATCCTATAATATTACACAAGCCTAAACACACAGCACGGCGTTTGGTATATTTGTGAATCGGTGCTGTTTATACTGTTACTTTCTACCATTAGTTAAATGAAGATGATTTTTAGGGTAATTTTTAATAGTCAAAAATTATCCTGTTTAGCATCACGTGAACACTGTTTTGTAGCATCTTGTGTAAACTGTTACAAGCAAATTTTCATGTTCATTAATGCTTCATGTAGCTTGAACTGGATTAGACTGAAATTTTAAAAGGTAAATTAAATAAAAAGTCACAACGCACTTTTTTTTTAACCTAAAGATCTCCCCTCTCTGCCCCAAGTTGCTAGACAAACATTGGCTTGCACACATGCCTTGAAATGTGCACATAGGACGAGCTGTAATTTCGCCTCTAGCTACTACGACTACTGAGCCACTGATAATCGCTAACAGAGGGTTAAACTGTCACTTGTACTGAATGACCATTGCTGTAATGTTCAGCCAAGAAAAATGGTTAGGAAAACTAGGTTCAAACGCCAGTCGCTTTTCTTTCTAGGAAAGAGGGTAAATGTTTAGAAGCGATTGTCTACATTGCTGCTGCGGATCAGACTTGTGACTTCTTAACATCCACTTATACCCAGAAGTAGCCACCGCAATCATGTGTTGGAAGAGTAAAGGGAGGATCAGAACAAAATTCATCAGTCCTCCACTGGAATGGAAACTGGGGGAAAAAAGTGTCTTGATTGTCTTGACGTTTTTCATTTCAGTCAGGCTTTTCGCCATCATAATCTCAGCATCTCACTGAAAAGATGCAGTTGGCTAAGTCTCTGACGCTAGATTTTGTTTTGTTTAGTTTTGTTTGTTTTTTTTGGCAGAAAATTCAAATTTTTGGACAATGGAGTGTTAAACCTTCTGGTGAAATTACTGATTTGGCTGTATGATACACTTGGCTTAAAAAAACAACAAAAAAAAACAAAACAAACTTTAACCCTTTAAAGTCCCATGATGCCAAAAAAATTATGCCTACACCAGCTTTACCTTCCTTGTAGCTGAGTTAATTCTGGCTGCTGTATAAAGTTTCAAGTTTGCAGTTACCACAAACTTTTTATACCACGTCTTTGACTGTAATATCTATACAGAGAGAAAGTTTGTAATGAAAAATATTGGAGGCTCTGATGGTGGTCTGTTGCAGTACGATATAAGAATTTTTGATGGTCAGAAAAAATAAGTGTAATATTTTCTTTGTTTGAGGCGGTTATTGTAAAACCAAATCAGATGCAATATAATCATGTTGTGGACATTGTAGTGTGTCCAAAGAAAGCACCTTACGGTATGACATTAAGCATGTGTATGGTTAAAAATACATTTTGGCAATCACAATTCCTGCCAATGGATTTTACAATTTTACAAAGGGAAGATTCTCTTGCAGTTTGCCAAGACCAGTCAAGTACACTAATTTCTGCCACCTAGAGGCAGAGAAGGTAATGGCTCCTGTATTTTTAACCTTTGTATATTAACTAAAAAAAAGTCTGTTTTTTTCCTGCATAGTTAACAATTGACATTCTTCAGGATTAAAATGAGCATTATACCCAGCCAGCCTGCAGCAAGTGCATTCACGAACACCTCTATATTAGATATTCACAAGAAAGGTGTCCTAAATACAGAAGCCATTACTTTCCCTTAATGTAAATGATCTACATCTTCACAGCTCACTGACCTCCAGGTGTAGCTTAGCCCGCAGTGCCGGCTTAGATGTGGAGGTCTTGAAAACTGCTTTGGATTTGTCCAAAGAGAATGTATATATTGAATGTGGCAGTTTTCTTTGTCTTTTTCTTGTTTTTTGCTTTGTGAGAACTCTAGACTTCAGATTTTACTTTAATGCATTCATGTGTTGTTACCGCTTTTTTCCCTGCTATGTTTTTGCCTGTGGGTTTATTTTTATTGGCAAGTAATTCCTGATATCTCTGTAAAAGAAAATGCTGCTGTAAATATCTGATGTTGCTATTGTTTGTACTGTTAACAACTTGTACAATACCTTTTACCAAAGTAGAACATGTCATTTAAAACCCCAAAGGAGAACAGTGAAATAAAATACTTCACTTTTTTCCTTTTTTTTTTTTTTTTTTTGGGCTGGGCATCTTTAAGTTTGAACATTTGGAAACCCTACAAATTATTAGGCTTCTAACAAACCCCCCAAAATAAAGTTTTAAGTGAATGAAAGAACGAGCTGTCGCAATTCAGTAAAAAAAAAAAAAGTTATATAATAAACGTCACATTTTTTTTTGCTTTCGTGGTCTGTTAGAAGGAAACAGGCTGACCTCTAGAGGAAGTAAGCTGATATGAAAGAAGCTCAATGCAGGTATTGGAAAAGATTTCCTTCTCAAAATGTGGCACAAAACTACTTTAATAAACACATAAAATATAGTTTATTAAAGAAAACAAGCATCCATTATTATGTTATTTAAGTTTCAATTATTGAATTCTTACCAATTCTGCTTCATACTACCTTACAGGTCAACTGTACACTTTGAAGAAACCCAATGTGTTCTTTAACATAAATATAAAGTTGAGTGTTGTGCCCCTTCAACTTGATGTGCAAAAAGGATGAACCAAGATCCTGAAGCTCTTCTCTCATTGAGAGATCATATAAAATGCAGTCAACGTATTATTCTAACTGCTGTCTTCCTGAGACAAAGACAGAAAGAAGCAGAAGAATGTATGAAGTGAAAAGAAATACACATAAGGATAAATGAAAAAAGAAAGAAAGATGTATTTCAGTTTGTAGAGTCCCAGCAGTATTTTTTCCAGCAGCATGCTAGCTGTTCTTTCCTGATTTTGACATATTCATGAGGAAGGAGTCACAGGAGTAGCGCAGGAACCGATAGATCTCCTCTGCTTTGTGTCGACTCATACACCCTCCCTTCTGTATGGCTTCTATCGGGCTGCAGGGAGGAAGCAGGTAAAGAAGAGATGACGTACTGAAGAAGAAGAAAGTGTTCATAATTTGATACAACACAACGTCCATCACCTGTTTATTAGCTGGGCGATCGATGTGAAGTTGTGGCTCATGTTGAGAGCTTGAACATAGTTAACTGAAGGCAAGCTCAAGTACAGCTGCAGTGCTTGCTGCCTATGCTGCCCTTTGACTTCCACTGGTATGCCGATGCCGTGACCCTTGCGGTGCTCCAGACGTGCCACATCTGCCAGCAGCCCGGCACTCTCTTCAGCACCGTCGCTCCACAGCAGGCGAACCCCTGATCGCACTAGCGCCGCCAAAGTGCTGTCAAAGTAGCGAGTTCGCTGAAAGGGACGAGATGCCTCACCTGGGACAGTGACAGTTAACATAAAGATCAGAAAGACATTGTCTCATGCAGCAATCATTCAGTCTAATCCTCTGTTAATTCAGTGAATTTGTGGAAAACGCTGCTAAACTCTGTCCATTTAAACCAAATGCACTCTCCCAATTTGGCGACCTATTTGATGTGTGCCATGCAGATACTGTTTCAACCCTCCAGCATGCCTACATCCACTCATAGGCCAGTAAATATTCTTATTTGCAATTTACCATAAGGGCTGCAAAATAACAAAGAAAATGAGCCACACTTTGAAAACGTACCGGTCTTGGTTCGGTCTTTTTCCACTATGATGCACACGCGCTCAAACAACCCCTGCAAGCTGTTCACTCTTTCCGCCAGTCGCTTCCGGTGCTGTGCCGCAGCCAGATCTGATTGGCTCTGCCTTTCCACCGCCATGCGGTTGCTGACAATGAAGTAGCTGCTGTCCAAAGAGCAGACATGGACGGTGGCTGCATGTCGCTGACGCAGGCTGGTCAGCAACTCCACCCCGCTACTGATGCAGCGACTGTCCACTAGGATGCAAACAGACCCAGATGGAGCGGAGGTTTCACTCACTATTAAATTCTCAGCTGTGGTCTTTTGAGGAGCCAATGGAGTGGCTGGGACTGCCTGTGGAAATGAAAGGAAAAACACCTTATACTTGATTTAAACCTGTGGTGATAACAGGTTAAATAACTCAATATAATATGCTCCTTGGTCCCAGAAAAAAAAAAACGGTTACACAATTTTTTTCCCTCATAATTATTTATGTTTATCTTCTGTCCCTCATAGTGGACATGGAGTCTTGTTTGATAACAGAAGATATGATGTAACGTAGTGATATTGTTTCTATTTTTGTGTGGATTTTTGGTATATTACCAGAAACAGTTAGGAATGTGTACGTCTCTTCTTGTCTGCTCATACCTGCGATTGCTTCTTTGAGGAAACTTGCAGGTGTGACTCCACAAAGTCTAGTTCATCAGAGAGGAGATGCTGATTTTCTATCGTCTGGCGACACCTTCAGGAGAGAGAAAGAAAGACAATCTCAGAATTGTTACTAAGTACACACTCATCCTTCCATTCTCTTCTGCTTATACAAATTCACGGCCATGAGGAGGATGGCACTCGCTCTTTATTACTTTATTATAACTTCACCTCTCATTTTGCTGTTCTTCACTCACAGAGCTCCTTTGTGCTTTGCTCAACAGTGAGACCTTAGAAGATAACGACACAGCTTTCTTTCCTTCTTTCCCACAAGGCTCTGGTGGTACCATCTTTGGCAATGAAGGCAACACACCCTCTCCTGCTTTGAGAGCCCTCTCTTTACTAACTTCATCTATCTCCTCCTCACTGGAATCATTCATTTGTATGACCCGAGTGCGTTTAGTTTTCATCTCGGCTCTCTGTTCTGGTGGAGGCTGAGCTCTGGTTTTTGTGCTGCCTCTTGCTCTGGCGTTGTACAGGAAAACGCGGCGCCTGGTGGGATACTGCTTTCTCCCGTTCACAAACGAGTTCTCGGGCAGAAGGTCAACATCTTCAGCATCTTCCTCACTGGTGCCCACCAACTCCACATCACTGCCCACTACAAAGCTGTCCTCTTCATACGTCTCATCCATCTCAGGCACCTGTTTCCACACATTAAGAATGTGGCATCCTTAATTAGACTACCAATCATCAAAGCCACTTAGTATTTTGTTGCTTTGTGTATCTTTTAAAATGTATTTATTTGTTAGTATACCTGGGAAAAGATGTCCATGTTGTGATGTCTTCTGTTGGAAATTTTGAATTTGCCCTGGACTGCAGGGCTTCTCACTGACTTCAGGTACACTCCATGCATCTCTGAGTCTGACAAAGAGGAGAACAGACAGAGAGCCAAAGTGTAAATATCATAGCATGACTCGCTCAGCCTCCTATCACACTGAGAAGCTCAGAAGGAGAGAATTCAGTTAAAAAAAAAAAGAAAAGAAAAATGTGTTGTACCATTCAGGCCCTGAGAGAATTGTGTATTGTCGACCACAAAACCGTTGAGAGACTGATTCTGTTCTTCTCCATCCTCCTCATCCGACGAGACCTCTACCCCTTCCTCGACCTCTGACAGCTGTGCTTCTTCATCCAAAAACTGACGCCCTTTTCGGCATTTGCCGCGCTGACAGAGGAAGGATGGAAAATGTCAGGGATGACGGATGCTGAAGGTGCCAGTCGCAGATTTGTAATGACTTGACTTTTTATGAAAGGAAAAATGGATCATGATGTCATGTAACGATCTTTAAAAAGAGACAGCGGTATGTTTTTGTCATATAATTGAGCTTTTTAAAAATTTTGGATGTAGTGTAACCATTAAAATGAAAACACTGAACACTAATAAACTAATAAAAAATGAGAATTTTGAGCTTCCTTTAATTTCGCAGAGGTTTTTTGTGAGTTTCAGCTCACTCATCACTCTCACTGCTTTCAGGACACAGCAGGCAGCTTTTTTAAGAAGGTCTAAGACCCTCTAAGCTTTAAAACCTCAGCACCAAACTACACACAGGCACATGCAGAGGTAAGAAATAAGAATATCTTAAAAATATCTACCTAGGGAGCTGGTAGTGAACCGTAGAAATGATGATGAGTGTACACTACTGTGCTTACTTCATTATATTTGCTACGGAAATGGGAAACAGTTGCAGCAAACACACACGGAAATGCAGTATATAAGGCTAAAACAGAGTTTGTACAATTCTAATGAGGTTGATTGTCCATATTTGGTGTGACCACCTTTTTCTTCAACACAGCCTAAACTCTGTTGGCAAGTTTTTTGATAATTTCTTTAAGTAGTCTTCAGGAATAGATCTCCAGGCTTCTTGAACGACATTCAAACTCTTCTTTAGGCGTTGGCTGTTGTCTGCTCTGTTAAGATGATCCCACACTGCTTCAATAATTTTGAAGTTCAGGCTCTGGCAGGGCTGCAGATGGCTGCAGACCACCACTGCTGTACCTGTCTTCTGTTCTCCTAAGTACATATAAATGATTTGATCCAAAATTTTAAATTTGGATCCAATACTTCAAAAGACCCATTGCCACTAATTTTCAGTCCAATTCCTGTGTAATTTGGCCACTTTCCTCCATTTTTTTAAGGAAACACTGCACACATGCCAAGATATGTTCCCAGCTAAAAGCTCCTTAGGAATCACCTTGTTGGTGCAGAAATACTATTTCATAACTGTCAACTAAAGAATTAAGGAACACCTTATCTGTTTTGTCATAGGCTGCTAGTAAGGCAAAGCCTAAAGACATAGTGCCCCCCCACAAAAAAAAAACCTCTAAAAATGGTCAGGTAAAAGCTGTGGACTGAAAATTAGTGAAAAACAGCCTTTTAAGACCATCACAAAGTCTGGAGAACTGTTGCTCAAGACCATCAGTCCATCCATGAATGGCTTTCTGGGGAAAAAGGCAGGGTACAGCTCACCACTCTGTCCAGAGCTGAGATGGATGGATGAAGACTTTTCCATAACACTGCAGTCATTTCAAAATGACATTCCCCACTCACATTAGAAACCTAAATACGAGCCATGTTTATATTGTGTTTACAGTTACATGAAAACATGGATCTCAGATCACAGCATCCGGCTGAGCCATCTGTTGCTGTACAAACCTTGGCTTTGGCCCTTTTCCTTTCAGCTCTCTGCACTGTGGCTCTGCACACGGAAACAGATTCATTCTGGAAATCATCATCAGAAACAGATTCGCCTCCCGTTTCATCAGACTGGAACACAGAGAACAAATTGGTGAAATACTGAAAACTGTTAGTAGTTTGTGACATATTATTAGATAATGAGCACTTGTAGAAACATCTTTAAGTGATATATGGAGCACGAGTAATTAAAATCACATCATCTGTGTTGAATA